AGCGCACCTACTATGATTGGTACTATTCATGTTTCAATTTCAACTTTTTTTTCTATTTCGATTTCCAAGTCTTTATATTTCGATAGTTTTTCAATTTCCTTGGTTACTATGTTATAGTCCGCTGGGCAAGCCATATCAATTAGTGGGCGAATTCTTTATTTTTGGTTTTTGACAATATGTTTGGCCTATTTGTTTCAATCTTCCTGTCTGTAAAAATGGTGTAATCTCATAGAATTGTTATGTCTTCTATTTCTGTAACCGGGGCTGGGTGATGTTCATACCAGTGTTTGTTAACATCTTTTCCAAAGTGTTTGCACATTGTCCAATCTAAGTACTGCCCTACTGTATCGAAACAATTTCTATATTCATTTCACGCAAATACAGAACATCTTGAGATAAGACGGTTTATTGCTTCCTGATATTTGTCACAGAATCTGCATTTTGGATCCACAATAGTATATATAATATTTCCATGAAAGTTTCTAGTGAGAAGATTCTGGTCTCGCACTGCAAGAATAAAACCTTCCGTTTCAGCCTTTAATTCATATACTCGTAATCATCGATGAGTGTTAAATTTATCAACATCGGCTTTATTAGCCTCGTTCTGGATATTGACCATGTTTGTCTTGCCAGCGTTGTTTCCTCTGTTCAAGAGCTTTATCCTTGGCTTGATTTTTCAATGACAATTCTAGCTGAATAGGACCTCTTCCACCTTCTTTACGGGCTATGCATAGATGATCTACATCAGGCTTTGAAGGATGCATGTTATGCTTAGAAAGAAGCATTCTATATCTTAAAATCCATTCGTTTGATATCATTTAGAGTCCAGTTCATGATGTTGAAACTATATTGAACCACTGAGATGAAAATGCTATTAATGGCTATAATTCTGTTCTGAGAATTCAATTCAGTTCTTAATATCAGTGGCTCTCTTCTATAGGACTCGTTTCTCACTATTTCGTTTATGTTTTTATGGTGAATTCCTTCACTTTTATTACACCGACGTACTTGTAAGCTTCTTCTTGCTCTAAATCTTTGATTGTTACCCCAGGATGTAAACTAATAGAGGGTGATCCTTGTAAAATGGTGGCTTTAACACATTTATCCAAACCAAATTCCATTCCAATGTCATCATAGAAATATTTTACTATTTTCAGGAGACCTTCCAGCTCACTATCATTCCTAGCATACAACTTTAAGTCATCCATATAAAATAGATGGCTTATTTTCTTTTGAGATATAGCCATATTCCGTCCTGTTAAGTTCGCTAGTTAATGCTATTAGGGATATACAAAATAGTAAGGGAGACAAGGGAGTCACCTTGAAATATGTTTATTTCACCAGAATTATAGACTCCATTCATATGAGTGTTGTTTTCCATATTGGCATACTTTGTTTGATGAAACTGATGACGACGAATGATATCTTGTATATATTTAAAGGTATTAAGATCCAGGAATGGGGTACACTATCGAATACCATACGGTAATCTATCCAGTTAGTACTGAGATTTTTATTTGTATTGAAGTAGTTTTATTTATTATTATTATTATTATTATTATTATTGTTGTTGTTGTTGTTGTTTCCAGTATAGGTATATTCACGAGGAGCTATTTTAATACTTTACACAATTTACAATGTTCGGACTGTTATCCTCATCTCTGTTGCCATAATAACGACGTTTCAGGCCCCAGACTTCTTCAGGTGATTGAAATTTGGAAGCAAAACCTTTATCTCGACCACTGAAACTGATATTGAGATATAGGCATATATCTAAGAGGCATGACAGATGGAACTAGAACAAGCTACCTCTTTTTTGTTGAGATGTTTTTTATCAGACGGTATAGCCCAGTATAAGAGATAGCAGGATGATTTTGTTTTTTTAACGCCATATCAACTCCTTATGGGTCATTTAATGCTGAAATTTAATTTCCTTGAGAGTATTAGTAATTTCTTTACAAAAATATTTTGCTGGTAATATATTTTTCAAAATGTATTGCTGGTAATTTTTTAACTATGAAAATTGCTTGTATTTTTACTATAAAATGTATTGTTATAGTTTTATAGGAGGGTTAACTATTTTCCCATAGTTGGGACCCTAACAGGTGCTACCACCACGTGTCAGTCTGGACTTGAGAACAACCGCAATTAAGATGTGGTTCTACGCTTCTCAGAACCTGCCGATCACAGGCCTTGCTGTCATATGTAGTTTATTGTCATACTCAGGACGCTAAGATGTCTTTTTTATTTAAATCTTCTATTAATACATCTGATCTGTTATTTTGTATAGTGCGTTTTGTATGTATGGTGAAGACAGAGAGCACTATAACATTTTCACTTTCGTGGACGAGTGTTGAATTATTTTCTACATCGGAAGGATTATGGATTAAAAGATAATATCTTTCAATATAAGTGTTTCCCTAGCTTATGAAGTCGATATTTAAATCCATTTGAGGCTAGGGTAAAACACCCTGTTATTCGATATTAAACAGTTTTCCGCGGTGTTTATAAACAAGTGATATGTTTATAAACTTTCATCCATTAAAATGTCTGTTAGGTTCCTGTGATCTTGAGAAGCATTGATGCTGGTTTCAACCCGGCTTTCTCTCAACATCAAGATGCTCTCAATGTGTATTAATCATGTAAGGATTTTTCTTCCCACTTGGTTTTCAGGTTAGTTAGGCTCATATTTTTTTTACTCTTTTGGTCTTCATTTTATTATTTCACTCCCTATATCCTCTTGTTTGCATACATATAGATCTTGCCTTGAATTTTTGGTTCTCTTTGATATTTGAATGCGGCCTCGTGTTTGGTTCATATTAGTAAACACGCTTTAGCATCTAAACATTGGTTAATTCGAGATACCTTCCAAGACATATTTTAGTGTATAATTTTATCAGTCCTTCACTTCCATCTACCGTAGGCAAGTAAAGTCAGCTTCTGTTTTGAGATCATGTATATTTTCCATGATAAGGAGTTATTATATATGTATTATGCATGTAAGGAGTTATTATAATGCGTTCATTATGCATGGTATGGTTCTTTATGATGCCTCTGTCTGTTTTATGTATTTCTTCTAGATTCCTGAGGCAGTATAGATAAATAAGTATTGCTAAGTTGTTGATTGGTTCATATTTATTTGTTGCATTTACATTCAGCTTTATTTATCGCCCTTACGCATCTGATATCATTTTCTCGTATTTTCTTTCAGTTTTTCTTGTTTGATTCCTTGTCCTTCCTTTGTATCAAGATCTTTATATACTTCTTGATCTAGTCCACGAATGAGTTTTTTTTAAAGGATTTATATTCGTTGTTCATACAAATTTGCCTCCTCTGAAGATTGTCTTGGATAATTTTAGACCATGTAAATCACTATCAAATGCGTTTTTATAGTCTATCAATGCAATGCTTAATTATCTATTTTATGAATGACAGCTTGCCAGTAACATCGTATTGATCAATTATTAGTCATTGCAACAATAAAAACCTTTACTGTATTCGTTTTTGCTCCTCAGGTAGAATGCTATTTCTGTCAATGATCTTATATGTTGCTTCAGCTACATTTTCACTATCAGCCAAACATCCTCCGCACCATTGCTCAGCGCCGTGTTCGCTGGCTTGGTCACGTCCTGATAACCATCCTAACAGATTCATCTACTAGTTAAAACTCGCAATCTGCAAAGTGGCGACGACTTCGTTGTAGACTATGCCACAGCTGGAAAGACGTCGTTGGCCAGCACCTCCAGCGATTAAACTGGATCTGGAGGATGTTCCGACGCTGTGTCTATGAGAGCTGAAGGGATGAGATAGCTCTCGTGAGATAGCTCTCGTGAGATCAACGGCTTCATGACACGAGATTTAGCAGCAGACATGCAAACTAAACCCTCACATCGACACATACAAATATACACACGAAAAATATACCGGATACCGGAGTTGGTGAGAACTTCTCTGTCAGACCCTTGTTCACGGATTAATAGTTTGATGTTTAATACTACACCCTTTCTTGAAAATAAATCATGATGTATTTATGAGAATAATAGTACCGGGAGGTATTCAAATACACGAATAAACATACACGCGCAAAGAGATAATATATAGACACTACCTCATATAAATAAAAAAGAAAGAAAATCAGATGAAGCAAAAATATAAATTAAAATTACAAAAAAAAAAATGATGTAAGGTAGCCACTTGTATAGATGGATATAATTGCCTAAAATTCATTTGTAATACTGATGCACTAGAGAACATACCAAGCGTAGCAATGGACGGCCATAAATTGTCTCTTACGATGCTTTCAAATGCTAAGACCACCAACACTCGCAATCATTCAGAAAAGCCAGGATCATTGAAAAGGTACCGTATCTATAAATTGCAGAAGCTAAAAAAACAGACTGGAACACATGAGAGGTTGCCTATTATTAAAAATGAAAATACATTTGATACACCAAATGAGAAACAAAGCGCCGGAGTTATAAAACCAGAAGTGCACGATAGGCGTGAAGCACAACAAGCAAAAAACTATAAAGAAACGCGCATGCGCGCACGACTGCTCATCTATGGGTGTATACAAAACGACATTATCCTCTTTTCTTTTTTCTTCTTTTCTCATGTCATTATAATATATTTTAATGTGTACTTTTTTTATTTTCTTCTCCTTATTATTCGCTTTGTGTTTGCCACTTTATAGAGCAGCAACTCCAAAAAATAAACAAAAGAAAAAAAAAAAGGAAGAAGAAAAATGAAGCTGCGGAAATAAAGGGGAAATGGAAATATTGATGATAGTGTAAATTAGAGAATTACAAGGAATGGGAGAAAGGATGAAATGCAAAAAAAAAAAGAAGAAAAAAAAGAAAAGACAAGCAATCAAACAAAATTAAACGAAGAAAATGCAGACAGAAAGGAATTAGAAAATGAAATGTGGAAGAAAGAGGAAGAAAGATAAGAAGCGTAAGAAATGAGAGTAAGAGTAAAGAGAAAATGAGAGAAAGAAAGAATTAAAATAAGAGTGAACAGAAATAATTCAGAAAATAAATAATGGAAGAGAAAGAAGAAAATGAACAAAAAGTGTAAGAAATAGGAGGAAGAATGAACGTAAAAAAAGAAGGAAAAAAATTAAGAAAGATAAAGTTGGAAAGAATGACATTAAAGAAAGAAATAATGTAAGAGAGAAAAGAAAAGAACTTTAAGAAACGTGGCTAAGAATGACATAATAAAGAAAGAAAGAAAGAATAAAGAAAAAGAAAGAAAAAGAAGGCGGACAAAAAAGAAATTAGAAAAGAAACAATGGAACGGAGAAAATATTGAAAGGGAAAATAAAAACGAAAAGAAAAAAAAGGTTTAATTAAACAAAATAATAAGAAAAAAGTGAAAAAAAAAGAAAAGAAGAAATAAAAATATTATGTAGTGGAAATAAAGAAACAGAAGGCAAAGAAAAGAACTGAAAAAAAGAAAGAAAAAGTAATTTATAGATAGAATTAAAAGAAAATGAAATAGAAGAGGAAAAAGAAAATTGGAATGCATAAAAACTAAAGCAAAACATGTAAAATAGAAAAAGGGGAAATAATGTCAATTGTAAAGTTGGAAAGAAAACAAAGAAAAACATAGAGAAATAAAAGATAAGCCAAGAGAAAGTGGAGGAGAGATAAGCGGTGGTAGAGTAGGGAGTAGGCCGAGCAGTAAAAAGAACATTTTTCTTGCCAATGCGGTGTGCAGTCGTTGTTCCGCCTACCAACTCTGCGTGTACGGCTATTATATGCTAAGTGAGCGCACTAGCCTATAATTAGTTGTCTCTTATTCAGAGCGGTTTGCCCGTGTGAAGTTTGTAGGCCAACAAGCCGTTAGTAACGACAACGCATGAATAACACGCTGGTCCGAAGCAGGTCCGACGATGCCATACTAATTGACACGCGCCCTCTCCTTTTGCCCGTTCCGAACGAGGTAATTGCATACATTTTTCAACGCTAATACGGCCGTTCGCAGCTAACATGTTGATGGCAAGTCTTTGGATGTTGTGGAAAACACTTAGGCTCGAACGGCGCGTAAGTAATGATCGCAGAGTTCTCGGCAAATGGCTACACTTTGCCGCACATTTTTCGCTGGAGCGAAGTGCGCGTCGAACGTACACAGAATCCATTCTCGCTGCAATTACGCGATAATGGGAATCATTAGAGCGATGTGGGCAGACAAGTCTCCAAGACCAACACGGTGCAATGTGGGCACTAATTGTAGTTGAGAAGAGGAAGTCGAGGAGGAGGAAGGTAATGTGATAATACTGATGGCGAAAAGAGAAAGAAACAAACATTAAGAAGAGAGAAAAGACGAGGAAAGAACAGACTAAGTATATAGGAATATGGTTTTGCTGTTGTTATGGCTTGGCTGTTGTTTTAGCCATTATTAACAGTGTTTTGCACTTAGTGGTTCAGTATCATTGAAAATAGTATATATTGGAAGAATAATAATGAGTATCCATTATTTTAGTCTATGGGTGTGAATTTTAAGTTACGCCTCTGTCATGGTGAGTTTAACGAAATATTTCTCTGAGTGCTTTCATGTGTGCACAATGGCCTATTGTTACTTAGATGTATCTAAAAAATTAGAATTAGTAAAACACATATCTATCTATCTATCTATCTATCTATCTATCTATCTATCTTGCATATTTGGGCAGTAAACTTTCTTTTATATATGATTACTTGGACACGACGTTCATTGAAACATGAATAAATGCAAGTTTACTGCTCAAATATACAACGCATAGACATAAGATATTACTGGTCCTAACCTGGCATCTCCATTACAATAACTTTCCAAGCGCCGTAACGTAGCTTCCCCGTGACTTTTCAAAAGAAATAATTTGAAGTTTGTTCGATTATATAAATAAGGAATAAAACACTGGCGTTCATCTGCATCCGTCAAACTATATTTGTTACAACAATGACAGTAACAAAGTTAATTCTTTGAGAAAAAAGTGAAGCAATCAGTACCTTTGCTTTGATATTCGCTATTCTAAAAATTATTTCAAGAAATTCAGATTCTAGTTAGTAATAAAATCATGAACAAAGCGTACGGCCAATCACATTTTTGAATGTAGATATGGTCTTACATACTCTTTTCTATTTTATTTCTTTATTTGATAAAAAAAATCTAAGTAATTTGTTTGTTTTGTTTGATTCAACTCCTTATGGGTCATTTAATGCCGAAATTTAATTTTCTTGGCAGGATTAGTAATTTCTTTGTCAAAACTGTATTGCTGGCAATTTTCTTTTACAAAAATTGAGTGTGGTTACGATGTTTTTATTTAAAAAAATAATGTATTAATGGTTAAATCTTTTTCTCCTTACAAAAATATATTGATGGTAATATTTTATTTTCCAAAAATACATTGCTGGTAATATTTTAAAATTTTGTTTTACAAAAACGTGTTGCTGGTATTTGTTTTTACTATGAAAATGCATTGCTGGTACTTTCATTATAAAAATGTATTTCTACTCAGTCATAGTTGTTTGACCGCAATATGGGGCTTCACTAAATGCCCATAGCTGGGGCCCTAACAGGTGCTACCATCCCGCATCAGTGCGGACCTGGGAAAAACAGAAATTAAGAGGTAGCTCCACGCTTCGTAAACCTCCCGATCAGAGGCCTTGTTGCTGGGTGTAGTTAATCGTCATACCCAGGACGAAATATCTAAATAAATAATACTTACAAATATTTTCATTAATCAGATGTTTTAGGTTGAGTATTAAATAATTACCGTTTTTTATTAACTTTATATTTTATTCCATTATATATTAATTGTGAGTTGCAATGACTTATTGCCACTTATCAGACAGCTTTTCAATGCTTTTCCAGTATAATTTCGCGGCTTTTGTTACAAAAAAAAAAAAAAAAATTCGCCAGAATCTTGTATCTTATTTTCAAGGGAGAAAGTTTTCCCTGACAAAACATTTTGCACCAATAGAAATAAGGTGATAATTGGTTGGTGCAAGGCCTGGAGAATATGGCCGTTTAGGTAGAAGAAACCAACCGAATCTGAAATTTTTTTTCCCGTCTTATTCTTGCTGTATGCGGTCTTGTGTTTACATGGAGAAAAACAATAATTTCCCTATCGACTAGCGCGGAGCGCAGAGCGCTTTGGGTACATTGCATCTGATGGATATCTAAATATTCATTTAGTTTTTCACTGCCTTGTAAGAACTCTAAATAAATATCCCAACAATCTCACCACACACATATTTAACTTTCTTTCACGGAAATCAGATTTTAGCGCCACTTGTAGAGATACATGCATGTCAATCCATTACCTTTTATGCTGCGCAATGTCGTATGTTGGTGCACTACAAATTTATTCTTAACAATCACGTATTTTCTTTTACAATGACATTCACACTGTACACGACCCAAGAGCCACTCGAGAATGAGGGTTACAAGGTAAGATGTTAGAGACACAGTTTATGCAGATTTTGGGGTAAGATAACAATTAACCCAATAATTGAACAAGTTAAAATTGTAGTGATCGGGGAAACATCCTCTTTGGACGTTGGTTTCACAAAACACATTTTGCAGGGATTTTAAATATAAAAATATATTTTTATACTTTCATAGTGTTTTGACCACATCTTGGGGCTTAACTATTTGCCCATAGCTGGGACTCTAATAGGTGTTACCACCTCGGGTTACGGTGGAATTCGCAAATACGAGGTGCTTCCACGCCCCTCAAAACATACCGATCAGAGGCCTTGCTGCCGGATGTAGTTTATCGTCATACCCAGGACAAGATACATACGTCATTATAATTTACACACACATGCATTATATATATATATATATATATATATATATATATATATATATATATATATATTGATTATTGGTGGATCTATAATTCTATAACTTATCCCGTAGTTATTGCATGTAATTTATCTGGAATATTGATAGTAATTGTCGAGCACTTTCATAAATATTAACCATTCAATTCAGTACATTTACACGGAAGGGCACTATGTTCAAAATTAAATATTTTTAATGTAATTGAAATGTTTTTTTCATCTTTTACCTACAGACTTCCCCTTTCGAATTTTGCCTACAGGCATAATACTCACATGCATATATATATGGATATATAGGTTTGTATGTGTGAGTGAAAGTAAACCTTCACACACACGTATACATATAATAAATTCAATACATTAAACACATTGTTTTCTCTCTCTCTCTCCCTCCATCTCTCTCTCTCTTTCTGTATATATATATATATATATATATATATATATATATATATATATATATATACAGGTAATAGATCCGTTGGTATATAATCCATGTGGGTCCTAGTAATATTAAATATTAAAACTGTTCCACAGAGAGCTCAATGTGTTTATTATAACAGAGCATAATTCTAAAAGACACGTAAGGGCTCAAGATAGCTGCTGTCGTACCAGCTTGAAAATAGACTATACCCATGTGAGGTAATTTTTTTTTTTTGTTATATATATATATATATATATATATATATATATATATATATATATATATATATATATATGCATAAAATGTATGCGTGTATAGATAAGTTTTGATAAAAGCTTTAAAAGATGGGTGTAGTTACGAACATTTTTATTGGAATGATTTTTAGAGTTAAATTTATTATGACTGCTGTTGAAAATGTGGGTCTAAGTATCAAAAAGACTAAGATTTGTTGACATTTGACAGCTTAAAATATGCTTTGTAAAAATACGTGTTCAAATCTATGCGTTGGTGTGTCGCCTGTTCTCAATTAATGGATGAAATAAGGAATGAATATGACTATAAATTCTAAAATCAAAAGCCACCAAAACCAGTCATAAAATGTTGAGTTGATGTTTAATTAACGCGTCAAATGATTTACAAATCTGTGCTCATCTGCAGAAAATGTTGATTGAAGATGAAGTTGTTAAAGAGGCGCAATAAATGCTGTTCGCAAGACTCAAATAATATTTCGCTTCTTTCCACTTTAATTCATTTCTATCAAAGAGAACCAGTTTTAATTACTAGGCAAATTATTTTAATGTTTTCTTAATTTTGAATTGTAAAAATGTTTTCCTATTTTTTTTTCTATATTAGAAAGTGTTAAAAATACGAATTGTTCTAAAAAGTAATCGAAGTATGATTTGGATTGTAAAAAATATATACGACTCAACGACTTAAAATATCAGGAACTTAGGTTCGAAAAATAATATTTGGTCATTGTGCCATTTTTCAAGTAGATAAACAGACTTGAATATATTAAATTTACCTGTTTTTTTTTTTTTAATCTGATTCTACTAGTTAAATCTTTAATTGAAAAAAGTACCCAATGCAATCATTTTTTTTTATTTTCATGCCTATTCAAACGAATATGAATTTCCACATATTACTTTTTTTTTATCTGTGAATTGCCATGCATTCTTAAGGAAGATAATGGAGTGGTTTCCTGTTGCATTCTCCACGGTTTGGAATTAAGTTTTTATTCTCTTATACTTGTTGCTACCTAGCGAAAATGCTGGGGAAGCCTTACTATTTAGTCCATAACTGAGAAAAGAAGAGACAGATACATACCTTTCCAATGGTTATTAGTGTGAAAGTGAATGTTATAGATTATCCAGGAATTTGAACTTGGTTCGCTGGTTCCAAATTCAACAGAGATGTCTACTGTGTTAACAGGGAACACACATTTTCCTTCTGCTAAATTGCTTGTGATATCTAGAAATTCTAGCATTGTTTTGAGAATTTTAGGTTTAACCTAATTTTATGTTCAACCTAAAATTCTTATAAACATTATTATATAAATCAAATATATAGTGACAAGTTTTGCTATTACCTTAGTTTGAAATCAATTCTGTTGATTATTACCACTTGCCTAAGTTCAGTAGCAACATATAGAACGACAGTTTAAAATGCAGGAAGTATTTCTGCCACACCCTGTAGCTAATATCTTACCATGATGTGGAAAATATTTCTAAGAGGTATTTCTGCCGCACTCATGCATATGAGATGAAAATAATATGAAAATAATATACATCAGACTAAGTGAAAAAGTCAAGGTAAGTTATGGAAGTTGCTATGTAATAAACAAAAGTGAGTAAAAATTACCTTGATTCTTCAGTTAGTATGATGTATATTTATGAACGTTCTTAAATTTAAAAAAATCTGAAAACTAACGACGCTTTTCATTTCGTTTATAAATTCTTATTGCAAAATAAAATCCCCATATTTACCTTTTGATAAAGATAATCAAATGAAAAAACGCGCCGGCTGAGTTTTCCTTTTGTCTTTATATATATATATATATATATATATATATATATATATATATATTT